AAAAAAAAAAAAAAAAAAAAAAAAAAAAAAAAAAAAAAAAAAAAAAAAAAAGAAAGAAAGAAAGAAAAAAAAAGGACATGACATGACATGACGCACAGAAAACAGACATCCCACAGAAGAGATAGGCAGTGAAAGAAAATCCAGTTGTAACAGCTATGCAAAAGCTTAAGTAAAACCAGTCCAAACTAGAGCACATAAGAATCTGACGTATCTCTTCAAGATGATGAAAGTAACAAAACAATACTGAGGGAATGTGTAGATAACAAGTGAAAAGCATAGGTTTAATTGCATAGAAAACTAAATGTACTAAGAAGAAATCTAAGATGACCACCTAAGGTTCTTGGCCACCAGTGTATGCACACCATACCCCATTCCCCAGTTATTCAAACACTAATCTAGGTACTACTGCAAAGAAATAATTTACAGATGTAATTAAAGTCCCTAATCAGCTGACCTTAGATAGGAAGATTATCCAGGTGTGCCTGACCTACTCACATAAGCCCTTTAAAAGAGAGCATTCTCTACCTAGTGGCATAATGGGAAGCCACAGATTAAAACCCTTAGGGGATCTGAAAGTTGAGAACCACACCATTGCTGACTTTGAACATGGAAAGGACTATGCGTCAATGAATGTGGTTGGACTTGGGAATGAGAGGGGACCCCAGATGACAGCCAACAAGTAAACTGGGACCTTAGTCTTAAAAATCAAGGAACTAAATTCTGCCAACAAGTTGAATGAGTATGGAAACACATTCTTCCGCAAATCCTCCAGTGAAGAATTTATTCTGGCAGTCACCTCAATTTCAGTCCATTAAACCCTGAATTCAGACATGGCATGCCCAGATTTCTAACTTACAGTACTATGAGCTAATAAATGGATATTGTTTTAAAACACCAAGTTTATGGTACTTTCTCAGTTTACTAAGCAAACAAAATTATTACTACAAGGGTGAAAGTTGGAAGCACCATGTATAAGAAAGAAAATTAATCATGACATAATGATATATGCCTTGAGTAGTCTATACAATCAAGTATATTGGGAGGATGGAGGAATAGAAAGGACACAGGGGTACAAAAGAATTGCATTTTCATCTTCTACGCAGAGAAGTGAAGAAATAATGCTTACAATGCTTATATCAAAAATAAATAATATGTTAGCGTGAGAAAGACTGAGAAACCTATGATCTGGCTGTAAGAGTTGAAAGTAGATTCTTCCACCAAAAAGGAAATGAGGAAGAGGGGCAGGGTGCTAATACTTTCATTCAAAAAATCTTTAACAACTAACTCCTTTATCAACATTAAAATTGATCAATATATAAACCTTAAAAAAAATAAAATGTACTGTATTGTCTAATGCTTAGGGAGCTTTACACATGCTGGTTCATATGTCTAAAACACTTTTCCACTCTCATTCCTAAAACACCTTCTCAAAAACACTTGTTGTTTAACACTATTTAACATCACCACAATTTGGGTAACATCTCCGTCAGGAGGCCTTCCCTAATGTGTCCCACCTCATCCTTCATGTAATACAGCAAACAGACCATGTACCCCAATGGCAGTATGTTCTTAATTGTGAAAAGAGCAATTAACACAATTATTTAGTATTTCCCTACTCACCTACACAAAGAGCTTGTTCTACTCATTTCTGTATCCCAGTGCCTATTACCATGTATTACACATTGCAGGTTTTCAATAAATGTTTAGTGTATGAATGAATACCTACTTCCACTAAGGTCAACTATGCAGACTAGAAAGTTTATTTTCACCCAGTGACCACCCTCTACAAAGACTACCAGAATCTGGGTTTCCAGGTTTAAAAAAAATGAAACAAAAACATAAAGAAACACTACTATCTGTCTGTTATGTGTCAAAAGCCAAAAGATAGAAGTATTTTGTAAGAAAGGAAATTTACCAGTAAACTTATTTTTTTATTTTTGAGATAGAGTCTCACTCTGTCACCCAGGCTAGAGTGCAGTGGTGCCATCTGAGCTCACTGCAACCTCTGCCAACCAGGTTCAAGCGATTCTCCCACCTTAGCCTCCTGAGTAGCTAGGACTACAAGTGTGCACCACCATAGCCAGCTAATTTTCGTATTTTTAGTACAGACAGGGTTTCACCATGTTGGCCAAGCCAGTCTCAAACTCCTGACCTCAAGTGATCACGCACTTCGGCCTCCCAAATGCTGGGATTACAGGCATGAGCCATGGTAAACCAGTAAACTTTAGTATAAGCTTCCCAAATGGCTGAAAAATATATTTTAGCTACAGTCTCAACTCTGGTATTAAATGTTATATGCTTTATCCAAGAAGGGTAGATTACTACTTGGTTGAACCTTGCACTCTTGGCCTGTAAAAATATACAGGGTACTTCAATGTCATGATTAAAGAAAAAAGGTAAAAATTTGACAAGAGTTGCTCTGACTTCCTGAGACTACTTGAAGTAACACTGCCTGAGGAGATATAAAAGTTGGTGTTTTGTCACATGTCCCTCACTAAAGTCCCAAGTTGAGCTTAAAAATACATTTTGACAGAGATACTATCGTAATACAAAACATCTGGGGTCATTCATTGCTCTATTACTTGTAAAGTAATCACAAGCCAGGCAGTAACCATCTTAGTCCTTATCCTCTTCTATAAAATGGACATAATCTTTATAAGATAACCGTAAGCATTAAAGGGTAGACTGAAAGAGATTCTGGGCCAAACACTTATTTTCTAAAAGTGCTTTAGCAATGGAGCTGTGGAGTTATTGTTTAATGGTACAGCTTCAGTTTTACAAGATAAAAAGAGTTACAGAGATAGATGGTAGTTATAGTTGAACAACTTTATGAAAGTATTTAATACCACTAAACTGTACACTTAAAATTGGTTAAATTTGTAAATTTTATGTTATGTGTATTTTACCGCAATGAAAAAAAAGGGAAAAGTACATTAAAAATATTTTGCATTACTATTTAGCTGACACTGCCTTAGACAGATATCTGTAACTAAAACTCATGCATAAGTATTTATGGAGGGGCTGGGTACGATGGCTCACGCATGTAATCCTAGCACTTTGGGAGGCCGAGGCGGCTGGATCACTTGAGGTCAGGAGTCTGAGACCAGCCTGGCCAACATGGTGAAATCCCATCTCTACTAACAATACATAAATTAGCCCGGTGTGGTAGCCTGCACACGTAATTACAGCTACTTGGGAGGCTGAGACAGGAGAATTGCTCAAACCCAGGAGATGGAGGTTGCAGTGAGCTGAGATCATGCCACTGAGCTCCAGCTTGGGAACAGAGCGAAACACAGTCTCAAAAAAAAAAAAAAAAGAAAACATTTACGGAAAGAATTAGTTCATGTTCAAAAAAGTATCAAAGCTTCTAAGAAAAGTTTCTGGTGTTTTTCTAAACAATTTTAGAAAGCTTTAGAGTCGTACTTCTGAATTGAAGGATACTTCTGAATTCTCCCCTAGTGAAAAATTTCTCAAATTTGTGGGTGTGGTCAGTAAAATCACTTGAGCATCCCCACACATATATTCTAACTCATGGCCTTGAGCTCTTCCCTCTTCATACTCTCACCAGACTACAATTCACTCTAATAACAGTTCAAATGAGAACTACATTCCGGTTCAAAGTTTCAGGTTCCTCTCTACCTTCTACACATCACAACACTTCAAAGTCAAAATGTTTGAAATCCAATTCGCTCATCCCCTTCAAAAGCAACTCACGTGGTTTCCTACCTTCCCAAGTTATAACTGGGAAAATTTTTATTTTAAATCAAGGAAAGAGTGAAAACATAAAGTACGTTCAAGCAGAAAGGAAACTGCATGCATAGCACCATGGACTGCACAAACCATGAGTCTATCATCACTGGATGATAGACTCTACTACTACATCTAATAGAAGACACCTTCTTTAAAAGTGAATAATATTTTTTACATCCTCAAAAAAATGTCCAAAATAAGCATGCAAAAGTTGTTTTTAAATCTGTTTAGATCACATATGGAAAAAAAGGTAAAAGTAAAATGTGAAGTTTTCCAGTGCCATTAACATATATCACATAAAAACAATTTTTAAATGTTTAAAAGAATTTTTAAAAACCCACTGAACTAAAAAAATCCTGTGGAGAAGTGACTTACCTGAACAAGATGAATAAGTGTTGTCAAAATTGCACATCTCAACATATTGTGCTCTTCACTCTGCTTCCAAAGGAGGGGCAAATATTGTACCAAGCATCCCACATATGGTCGTATCTATCACAATATAAGTAGGGGAAGCAACAAAATTGTATTAGTAAAGAAGGCACTTTACTTTGAAAAACAGTGAAAGCACTATTAAGTCCCAGGCAGCAAATATTTAATATTTACTAGATATAATGTATTAAGCTTACATCCTTATGAAATAAATTAGGCATTACATTAAGACCCAGGGCTCTATAGTAAATTTTTAAAAATAGTTTTAAACAAGTATCAAGTGTACTGAATGAAATAAAATTTATGAATATAAAAAAACATTCTTTAGATAACAGAAAATGCTATTATATCCTGCTTCTTTTTTAATAAAACAGCTTACCTAATTGGAAATTATACTATTGTTTTTTTTAAAAAGTCAGCATTTATTCATTTATTCTACAAACGTCTTCCAAGTTTCAGGCCCTGAGCACAAGGCACTGGGAAAAAAAGGATACAAAGAGAGCTTTACAAACTCTTACAATGAAAAAGGATAAGTGCAATGATGAAGGTGTATACAAGGTACGGTGGAAACACAGAGGAAGAAACCATTTTCAAAGGATAAAACTGCTAAACTCACTATGGATTAAGTTAATCAGATTTTAGATTTTACCCTGAAGCACAGCTGAGTCTGACAGTAGTTTCCTGAAAAACAAAATGGATCTACAGTGATGCTGGACAGCGTTTCAAATCCAGTATTTGAAATTGCTATAATCTTAGTATCACAGTATTTCAAATTGCTTTAAGAGTATCCTTGGGGATGAAATAGAAACACTAGACCTTCACAGCTTCACTACTATCTATTTGAATATCATGGATTAAAATTTAAAATGTTCCCAGAAAGGGAGATTTTCTTTATTCTGCTAGTAAAATACTCTAAAAGGGTAGCCAAATAACTACAAAATTTGCTCCCCTCTCCTGGTGGTGGACGTGGTGGTGGGAAATGCAGAAAAGTAAGAAGTTAAATATTTGCCCAGACATCTCAGTAAGATATAAGTGAATAAACATTAAGACACAAACTACCTTATTTTCACATATTTATCAAGTAATACCTTATTTTCAAAATTTGACTACTATTTCTAGAACATGTGCTCAATATCACTAAGTATTCTATCTCAAAGATCACTCCAATTAGCTCATAAAAGCATGCCAATTAATAAGTAAAAACAGATTTCAAAGTATCTAACTCATTCATAATCAACTAAAAATAAGCATATGACAACACAATCTACTGATAAGGAAAATAAGGCAGTTTTGGTTTTAAATAGAGAGGATACTTTCCTAGAAATTTCAGAAAAGAAATATATACTATAAATCACAAATGGGATAATAAAAAACAAAGTACCCAGTTACATTTAAAATCCATAAAATATTTATATTCTAATCTTAGCTGTAATTAGAATATACAATGTTCTAAATTAAAATTAATGCTACAAAAACAGTACTTCAAGAATCATCACAGAGGCTCGGCACAGTGGCTCACACCTGTAATCCCAGCACTTTGGGAGGTCAAGGTGGGTGAATCGCTTGAGGTCAGGAGTTCAAGACCAGCCTGGCCAAAGTGGTGAAACCCCACCTCTACTAAAAATACAAAAATTACCTGGGCGTGGTGGCATGCATCTGTAATCCTAGATACTCGGGAGGCTGAGGCAAAAGAATTGCTTCAATCTAGGAGGCTGCAGTGAGCTAAGAGAGCCTCACTGCATTCCAGCTTGTGTGACAAAGCGAGACTACATCTCAAAAAACAAACAAACAAACAAAATAAATAAATCATAGAATGCCGTGAAAGATACAAAAGAAAAAAAAAAAGAAAAGAAAAACACTAGGCATTAAAAATAGCAGAGCGGGGACATGAGAGCCAAATATATTCCAGTGGGGTAGGAGGATAACTAACGGGGGAAACTAAGGAAATCTGAATACTGACTTGATATTAGATAATAGTATTGCATCACTGTTAAGTTTCCTGAGTCTAATCACAGTTATAATAATGTAGGAAAAGGAGCACCCATCTCCTAAGAAGGAGACATCTAATATTCCGGAGAGTGTCATGATGTCTGCAACTAAAACAGAAATGGTTTTACAACAACAATCTGTACACGTGGACAGAAAAAAGAAAGCAAATGTGGTAAAACATCAGTAAGTGATGAAAATAAGTGAAGGATATATGAGTGGTGAGCTATTCTTATAAATTTTTTGTAGGTTTGAGAATTTTCAATGAAAAGAGGTGAAAGAAAAAATACTGTCCTTATAAAATTATGAATAGGATATAACACAAGGGTTTTAAGGGAAGGCTAATTTCAGTTATTTGCAAAACATTTAAAAAATCACATAGAACTAATAAGAAAGTTTCTGCAGTCAATAGGGAAATGCACATCAAAACCAAAATGCAAATTAAAAATAGTCAAGGTGGCTATAACAAAAAAAAAAAAAAAAAAAAAAAAAAAAAAAAAAAAAAAAGGGAAAAAAAAAAAAAAAAAAAAAAAAAAAAAAGGAAAGACAACACAAGTGTTGGCAACAGTGTGGATAAACTGGTACCCTTGTACAACTGTTGGCAGGAATGTAAAATGTTACACCCGCTATAGAAAGTAGCATGGAGGTTCCCAAAAAAATGAAAAGTAGAACTACCATATCTTCCAGCAATCCTATTAAATTATTAGCACTACCATGTTTATTGCAGCACTATTCACAATAGCCAACATGTGGAAGCAGCCGAAATGTCCATCAACAGATGAGTGGATAAAGAACATGTGGTAATGCATACACAAGGGCATACATATACTATGCAACCTTAAAAACAGAAGGAAATTCTGCAATATGGGACATTATGAATTAACCTTGCCAACAATATGCTAAATCAAACAAACTACTCACAGAAAGACAAACACTGCCAATTCCACTTACATGAAGTTATCTAAAATAGCCGAATTCATAGAATCAAAGAGTGGAATGATGGTTACCAGGGACTAAGGGGAAGGGGAAATGAGTTACTAATCAACAGGCATAAAGTTTCAGGTAAACAAGATGAATAAGCTTTAGGGTTCTGCTATAGAATGTTGTACCAAAAGCCAACAATAATATATTCTACACTTACAGTTTTGTTAAGAGGATGGATCTCATGTTAAGTGTTCTTACCAAAGAATTTGGGGTGTTGGGGAAGCACTTTATGGCCTTATGAGTTAATTCATACATAGGGAAAGCTCCACTATCATTCACCACTGACAACATGAAAATCAAATATGTGACAATCTAACAAATGTTTTAAAGAGGGCTCTATCACTGGGGTTAAAAAAATTACTCTAAGTCTCCAAAGACACATCATCTTTTAGATAAAATTTTCAATAGAGTATTTTATATTTCACAGAGGCCCTTTAATTTTGTTCTTTCACTTAGGAAATGCACAAGCCCAAAGACTGCCTGATACCACACCTGATGATTACATATTTATTTTGACTATATATTTATAAGCTTTCTGTACCAGAAAAGTTAACTGTAGCTTTTCAACTACTTTCTCAAAAAGCAAAAACAATATTCAAATAATTGTACATTATGGTACAAAGATGGTGACTTTACTGAAACTTCAAAATTAAACTGTATGTGTCAGAAAGCACTATTTTAAGATGGGGCAAAATGTTTGCTGCCTAATATCAAAAAGATAATTCAGGCAGTGTGTGGTGGCTCTTATCTGTAATCCCAGCACTTTGGAAGGCCAAGGCGGGTGGATCCCTTGAGCCCGAGTTCGAGACCAGCCTGGCTGACATGGCGAAACCCTGTCTCTACTAAAAGTACAAAAAAAGAAAAAAATCAGCCAGACATGGTGGCACATGCCTGTAATCCAAGCAACTCAGGAGGCTGAGGCACAGGAATCACTTGAACCCAGGGGATCGGGGCAGAGGGTGCAGTCAGCTGACATGCAGCACTGCACTCCAGCTTGGGTGACAGAACAAGACTCTGTCTCAAAAAAGATAAAATTTGTTAACATTTTTTTAAAAGTTGGTTGTCTCATGGACAAACATCAAATTTGGCACATGAAAGAGAGTTGAGGGACATACGCAACAATGATAACAATGACAGGGTTGATCAAAGGTTAACATAGAAAAAAGTTAAAGAATCACACAACTGAAAATATTTTTTAACCATTTCCTATTTAGTGTAAGTTTTGAAAAGCAAAAACTTTACTGGATAACTATATCCAATTGTTACTTTCTGATGATACAGGCACATGAGCTGCTTAGGCTATTTGTGTTTCTAAAGATGAGTGTAGACAGAAACACAAAAGTATTTTTAAATTTACTAAGCCAAAAGAATAACACACTTTCGGAGAAAAAGGTTTAATTTGAAGTTTGGGGAAGCAAAGGTAAGAAAATCCATTTCTATTTTTAAAAAAGTTTTATTTAAGAAATTTCCATCAGCCATATATATGTAAATAACATTTAAAAAATGGCCAAATCTTGTTTTTGTAATCAACTTTTTAAACAATTTATTGCAGTTTTTAGTACTCTGAAGCATACAGGACATGTATAATAATTTCATGCTCATGAAATCCTAAGTCAGGTGAGTTCAGAATTATCGTTATCATTTTATACATGAGGACACAAGGTTAAAGACTGCCCAAACTAAATAGTGGGGGCAAGGACTTAAAATGAGTTCTTAAAACAGCTGCAATGAACTCTGTGTGACCAAACTCTCTCAATGTTGAAAAATAGCATCAAATGAAATAATGTGATTAATATATTATGAACGCCAAGTACTAAGAATCATGCAAGGTATTACTACTTTTAGACAACAGTATGCAGATCTGTTTCAAATGATTAACAGTGACTCAACCCTACCACAGGAGTGGCATTATGCTGAGTTTATGTATGCGCAGTGCTATTAAATTATGTGAACTTTGAGAAGTTCCTTCAAGTCTCAAATTGTTAGAGAAAATAAATTCTAACTTCTACCTCAAGTTTTTTGTGAGAACTACGTGAGAAATATACGCAAAGCATTCAACACATATGTCAGTATGTTGTCATTACAGAATAATTAATAGCTATTCTCAGCAATTTTTTTGGAATTAATAAATCTGCTCAAGGTGTCACAATTCACTAATAGCAGATCCCAGAGTAAACTCTTAAGTCTGTGAAATCCAAATCAATTATCTTTCCTAATACAAAACAAATCACAGACTTGCTCCAGTGCTTTCCAAACAAGGATATGCAATGGTAAACTAGAATACAGAAAGCCACAAGGATAATTACAGTGTGGTTTCCTGGATTAACAATTTTTCACAAAGATTCAGAGTGACTGGAGAAGCTGAATAATTGAACTGTTAAGAGCTTTACACATCATTTTTACATTAAGCCAAAAGTAAATATAATGCAGACTAGATGGCAAAACATACTTAATGTTTAAGGTAAAAATAGTAGACTTTCCAGAAGTCTTGCTGATGGACACTTCTGGCTATGCTCTCAAATACACTGAATTTTACATTAGCTTCATCTTCTAAAACATGAAAAATTCTGCTTTATGAATACCTCTATATTGTTGATCCAATTTTTTAATATTTTAATTTTCTTAGTCATTTTTTAAAACTTGAATATAAATGTCAATTTTGAGTAATACATAACTGAAACGACAATCAATAAGTTAGAAGCTTTTCAATTAATGTTTTAACTTTTAGTGTAGTCAAGGATATTAACGAATTTTACATATACTCTACTCACCTCTCAGACATTTATTTTCATATTTTACAATCTAATTACCTGCACATTGACTCTTTCGATGACACAAGAAAGGACATGCAAAACGTGCATCTTTGTGTCACATTCTGTAACTTGCTGCAGTAACTGAAAAAGTAGTGTGAACATGGTTTCCAAATACTGCAGGTAAAAAGAAATAAAATAAAAAAGGTTTAGAATAGAAATCTAGAGACCTCTACATACATACGAACAGAAGTAACAAATAAATCATAATGTTAAAGCAGTAAAAGTCAAATAAACAGAAAGCCAAAAGCTTGGCATTACCTAAACAACTTGAAATTGTTCAAGCTACTAAAATGTAAAAAAGTGTTTTCTGGCTCACACCTGTAATCCCAACACTTTGGGAGGCTGAGGCGGGTGGATCACGAGGTCAAGAAATCAAGACCATCCTGGCCAACATGGTGAAACCTCGTCTCTACTAAAAATGCCAAAAAAATTAGCTGGATGTGGTGGTGCGTGCCTGTAGTCCCAGCTACTTGGGAGGCTGACGCAGGAGAATCGCTTGAACCCAGGAGGCAGAGGTTGCAGTGAGCCTCGATCAAACCACTGTACTCCAACCTGATGACAGAGCAAGACTCCGTCTCAAAAAAACAAAACAAAACAAAAACCTATTTTCTTTCTTCATTGCTGCTAAATGTGTCCATTTCAGAATTTAACTCATCCACAAACTGAACAATGTTTAGTGGAATATTGTCTAAGATGTGTATGTTTAAATTTACACTGTTAACTATTAACAGTGCCTTGTCACTGTTCTTCCACATATGCCCGTTGCCAATTATAAAATGTTTTGTTTTGCAAGACCTACTCAGTACAGCAAAAAGACTTTTATTATTGCACTCACATGCCAGCTAGTTGATATGGCCCTTAACATATACTGCATGAAAACATACATTTTTATAGATATAAGCTGTTATTCTAAAAATGGCAGAATAGTTCTTACTAGGAAATCAAAACCAAATATCCTATGTCTGTCTGTGAATTCTTATATTATGAAAATTATGTTAGAAACTAACAAATCACATACACTTACATAAAGCAAGCATTTGTTCTTTCAGATACATGGCTCATTTTAATACAAATTTCTACAACACACTCCTTTCATCCAAAAAAGGTCTAGTGATTTTGTATTAAAGCAAGATAACTGCTCTACAAACTCCCCTATCTATCCCCTTCACCAAAAGAAGTACAGACAGACATTTACCTGTACAAAAAAATCTTTATACAGAGAGACATTTTATCGTAACTTTCTTCTCACCCAATCCTCTTATGAACAAATACTAACACCCCAATCTTACTGACATGTTTAACAAGTGCTTACTGAGTACCAATTAGGGGAAAAGACCATGCTAGGTGCTGGGGGTTGACTAAAGAGTAAAAAGATGAGTAGAACTTGGTATTCTGCTCATCAAGTAATTTACAATCGAGTATGTAGGATAGGATACAGATATACACACTCGAATAACACAGAGAAATAACCTAAAAAGTAAAAGTAACAGACACACAAAAAAAGGAAGATACTGGATGTTTTTCAATTTTGAAAAAAAAGTCTGGCAACCAACTTGAACATAGATGACAAAATTGCTAAACAAAAATAAGCAGAATATGAGTAAACTGTACCAAAGTTACCAAAACAGTTTACAAATAAAAGTTATGTCCTCCAAAATAATCCAATACAGCATACATTTAAATGTAACTTTAATAAGTAACACATAATTTCATGTATAAAATAATACAATATCAAAGATATAGGCAGAAATTGTCTAAAAAAAAAAAAACCTCGAAGTATATATTCTTACCGGTAGAAACTGATCTGTTCTAAATTCAAAATCATCAACAGGTAAAGAGCAGTTAAGGAATATTAAGAATATATAAGTTTTATCAAAATAAACATATATATAAAACAATATACATTAATTTCACAAAACAATAACTTAAAAGTATGAAAGTTCTTCGCAATGAAGTATTTTTAAATTTTCAGAAGGATATTTAACTTCAAAGTTGTGGCTGTTTCAATACGGACCTAAAAGAAAGTATATCATGAGGTTTTAATCATTTTTAAATGACTAAACATCATTAATATCAAACAAAAAAATTTATTCCAAATCACTTTTTTTACCCTTATTATTAGAGTCACAGACCATATAAATTTTCAGAAATAAAAGGACACTCTCCTTCTCCAAAGCAAGGAATAAAAAGAAAAGGTAAAGTAGCATTTATTCCTATTCTTCTCACTTTCCCATAATTTACTTAACAAGCCTTTAATCCAGTGAATCCTTCCAGGAAGGAAAATAATTTGCCCTAAAATATGTAGAGAGCATGGGATTGAGGGAAAAAGAAGCAGGAAACCAGAGCGGAGTTGAGCAAACTGAAGGATGTATAAATGAAAGGTGTAAAAGGAGACAAGAAGGAAGGAGACAGAAAGAACACAAGCAAATTTCCACCTGTAACATCAATTACAGCAAACCTTTGAAATATCCCCGCAATATTCTGAGATTTTCTAAATCCCAGAGTTCACAAATATAGAAAGGTTTATATATGCTCCTGATCTCCCAAATCATATTTTCTATGTGTATCAGCATGTTACCTGAACAAATCATATTACAACATAATCTCATTATCCTACAAGTGTTATCTTGTACATAATCAGCTAACGGCCTAAAATATTTGTAGTTTCCATATAAAGTAACATGAGTTCAAGACATGAGTAAATTTTGTATTTCACTCTATGGGATAATATTTCTAAAACTTTTATGACCCAGCCGAGAATCATTAGTTTCTTAGATGTTGCACTTTCCTTACCTATTAATAGCAACTGTTTATTTCTTCCAGTCATTTTTCAGAAAGTAAGCGTTTAAAGCCTTTTACAGGAGCTTCTGAGGTCTTGAGATGCGACTAGGTAACTTCACCAAATGTTAAATACTCTATTGCCCAATCCACAGATTCCAAGAGCCTACAGTGTAGATGTTTTCTCACCTGCTTTTTTCCTTTTATTCACTGTCTCAAAAGGCAAGGTGAACATTTCCATATTTTTAACTGATTTAACAAATTTGCTGATTATCTAATACATGCAAAGCACTGTGCCACATGTTCTACCACAAAATGATCTCATGAAGACAGTATGGTCAGGTATTCCATCAAAAACTATTCAATGAGGAACTATCATCAAGCACTGCGTTAGGTGCTACAGAAAAAGCTAAGTTAGGTGTGCCCATAAAGAACTTTACAATATGGGAAGGAGGGGAATAGACACTAAGCAATTACTAATGAAAATGACTAACTTGAAAATGTTAAGCACAGGACAGTCCCTTGGGGACATGGACTACGTGTAATCATCTTTAAGTTCCCAGCATTTAGTACTGAGTGAATATATAAGTACAATATTAATTCACAGACACCAAGACATGAAAGCCCCTCAAAACAGAAACAAGAAATCAAGGCCAGGCACAATGGTTCATGCCTATAATCCCAACACTTTGGGAGGCCAAGGTGGGTGGATCACTTGAGGCCAGGAGTTCGAGACCAGCCTGGCCAACATGGTGAAACTCCATCTCCACTAAAAAAAAAAATACAAAAATTAGCTGGGCATGGTGGCATGCACCTATAATCTCAGCTACTCAGAAGGCTGAGGCACAAGGATGGCTTGAACCTGGGAGGCAAGGCTTGTAGCCACAGCACTCCAGCCTGAAAAACAGAGCAAGACTCCAACTCAAAAAACAAAAAAAGGAAAAGAAAAGAAATCAATCTGGCACCACACTAACCCATAATTCTCTCTTGATTTTCTTCCACAAAAGGACCATATATTCTAGAGATGCACTCAACCCCCAGCCTTAACAATTTTACAAGTACATGAAACAAGACACCTGAATAAAACAATGCGTTTTCCTTCCTAACAAAGGGAAGTCAGTGTAGTATCATGTGCAGAGAAAAAGGTAAAATGAATTAAGGTGACCTGCCTGCATTCCAGCTTAACGGCAAGAACAGAAAGCCAGATCATAAGGAAAAACAACAACAACAACAACAACAACAACAACAACAAATACAGACTTTTAAAGAAAGTTAAAGAGCATTTTAAATGATGACACATAAAAATAAGAAAAACAGTCAGCTCTTCCCGAGCTTTAAAAGAAATGAGGTACTTACCACAAAGAAACAAATTAATTTGGCAGCAACTCAAGCAATGGGGGACAAAATCAAAACCTGAATTTATAAAATGAAGACTTGGGGAGTATGCTAGAAGACTGGTAGAATAGTCTAACTCAATTCTACTGTGAGTCTACCCTAGGCCCAGCTGAAACCTCGAAAATCCATGAAAAGATAACAGGAAATTCCAAATTGCCATAAATGCCGTCAAGACATAAGGAACATTGGAAAGATCCTCCAAAGCATGAGACAAACAGAGAAATGAATGAGAAGAAACCACAAGTCAACAGCACTTCCAAACACTGCTACAAAGGTAAGCACAGCCAGAAACTTCTGTGCAGATGTCACAGTAAATGTACCTCATTAGGACACTTAGGTGGGCTTGGACTAATGCCTGACTACTTCTACATCTTGCCCTTAGCAATGAAGGCAGTCCACAGACTAAAACAGTCAGCATGGTGTTGGGGCCAGAAAGAAACAGCAGTGTCTCAAGGACTTAAGACCACCAGGAAAATGTAAAAAAGGCAGACACAAAAGAATAATACGCTAAGAAGAAATAAAATAATAATTTCATAATTCAATTATTTAAAAAGCCATCCTCATTCTTGGGTTCTTTCATATCCCTACTCGTAATTCTTTCAATAAGCATTTTCTAAGACTCTATTTCATTCCAGGCATAAGAAATACTAATATAAATATTATCCTATATTATCCTATATATTAGTACCACTTAATTATACAATCTGATATCATCCTTCTGAAATGTATATATCAATAAGTTTCCTAAAAGGAAAAAAGCAACTTTGATTTATTCATCTCCTCCTAAATCAAGGACCAAAGATAAAAGAAAAATAAATATTTCATCTCCTTTCAAGAAAAAAAATTCTCAAGGTCATTTTCATATATAACTGATAGACATATCAATTATAAACCCAAAACTGACTGTAGGAAAGTTACTAAAGTTTCCTTTCTTCTTGGTTTTAGATAGCTCTAATATTTTGATATCTCAAACACAGATTATTTTATATTTCCTGTGAATTTGTATTTGGTGAATATCATTGAATTCAGAATTCATTCTGGAAACTTTCAAAACACAGACTAGCTGAGAACTTAAGATCTATAGCAGTGTTTTGATGAGAAGATCAAAGGACAGGTAAATAGAAAAAGAAAATAGAGAGTGTACAAAAGAAAAATTGACAAATCTGAAAGAACCATAAAATGCACAAGAGTGGAAAAACAGGAGAGTTTCAAAGTACCTTGTAATACCTCTGTCCAGATCCCAGCTGTACTTACCACACTGAACACTGGCTTTGCTACAGTCTTCTCCATGCCACTGAAAGTACCTCCCTTATTAAACTCCCCTTAGTAACTTTCCATTTTTGAAAATTCACTACAGTTAGGCATCATGTAATTATGTATTAGTCAACAACATACTGCATTTAACAAAAGTGGTCTCATAAGATTATAAGTGAGTTGAAAATTCCCATATATAGTGATGTGATGGCTGTCACAACACATCACATTACTCATGCATTTGCAGTGATGTTGGTGTAAACAAATCTATGGCACAGACAGTAGTATAAAAGTACAGAATAGGCATGGCCTGGTGTAGTTGCCCACACCTATAATCTCAATACTGTTGGAGGTCATGGAGGGAAAACTGCTTGAGGCTAAAAGTTTCAGAGCAGCCCAGCCCGGGCAACATAAAGAGATCCAATCTCTAAAAAAAAAAAAAAAGTTTATTCTTAACTCACTCACCCTTGGTACAATCTTACATGTCCTAGGGTTCAGATTGTCTGTATTATTAAAGCAATTCTTTTTGTTCGCCAAGAGCGTGATCACTTTGTGGCTGTAGTCAGAAACGAGTCTTGGCAACTCCCTAAAAAAAAAAAAAAAAAAAAAAATCAAAATATCAGGCAGACTTGAAGTCATGCGCCTGTAGTCCTAGCTACTTGGGAAGTTGAGGCAGGGAGGATCACTTCAGCCAGGAATTCAAGGCTGCCGTAAGCTATGATCACACCACTGTACTCCACCCTGGGTGACACAGCGAGACCTTGTCTAGTTACAAAACAAAACCATAGCATATACAATTATGTTCAGTAGTATTTAATACTTGATAACGAAAATAAGCAACTACGTTACTAGCTTATGTATATGCTATACTACACTTTTTTATTGTTAGAATATTTAGAATATATTCCTCTATCATTTTTTTTCTTTTAAAATTAACTGTAAAACTGCCTAAGGCAGGTCCTTAAGGAGATATGACAGAAGAAGGCATTTTTTTGTTGTTGTTTGTTTGTTTGAGACAGAGTCTCACTCTGTCACCCAAGCTGGAACTGCAATGGTGTGACTTCTTAGGCTCAAGCAATCCTCCCACCTCAGCCTCCCTAGCAGCTGGGACGACAGGCACATGCCACCATGTCTGGCTAATTTTTGTATTTTTTTTTTTTTTTTGTAAAGACAGGATTTCACCATGTTGCCCAAGCTGGTCTTGAATTCCCAGGCTCAAGCGATTCGCCCGCCTTGGCCTTCCAAAGTGCTTGGTTTAGCGGTGTGAGCTACTGCACCTAGCCCAGAAGAAGGCATTGTTACCATATGAGATGACAGCTCCATGTGTGTTAACACCCTGGAAGACCTTCTAGTGGGACAAGATGTGGAAGTAGAAGACAATGTTACTGATGATCCTAATCTTGCGTAGGTCTAGGTTAATGTGTTTGTGGCTCTGACTTAGATTTTAAGAAAAATTATTAAAAGTGGAAAAAACTTATTTAAAAATTTTACAGAATAAGGATGTAACAAAGGAAAATGTGTTTGCACAGATGTACAATGTATGTGTATTTTAAGCTAAGTGCTATTACAAAGGAATCAAGAACTTTA